TCATGAATTTATGTGTAATATTATTTTATTAAAGAATGTATGATTGAAGTGATATCAAATCACTATTGAAGAAATCATTTTCATGGAAAAAATGGAACTCAAACAACAGCTAAATATGACAACAAAGGTACAAGTAATATGTTCAATTATTATCAATCAACAATATGAAAAACAAATCACAAATAGCTAGATTATAAGGTAGGTATTATCACAATACAGCCGTATTCTGTTGATCATTGAAAGCTTGAGGAGCAAACCTTGCTGAAAAACTATGCACCAAATGGTAATCTTCCTCGTCGTCATCATCTTCGCCATTAAAGTTGAGAGCATAGCTTTCTGGAGAATACTGAAACTGTGTTTTAGACTTCTTTGCATTACAAAGCTTGCCAATTTTTCTTATGAAGTTCTTCCATTTCGGCCCTGCCACAACCTCCGAAAACTCCTTCAACTTCTTTAGTTTCTTCACCAACCATGTCTCCTTCTCAACTTCTCCTCCTTGCAATAGGTGACTCTCATCTCCCTCGTTTTCGCCATTCCATCCGAAGCAAAGGGACCTGAAGAAGGCGCATCCACCAGCCGAAGGCGTCTCTTTGTTTACATCATTGTCATCATCGGCTTCATGTTCGCGTTCGATTATTGGCGAATAAGTGCTAATGAAGCCTTGTTTTTGTTGACTTGCAGCCATAGCGTCGAAAGAAATATAAATGTTTTAAATGTTGGAATGAATACTTTAAACAAGGCGGGATACGCGATCTTAACAGCTTCCTTCCCTTTGATCGAAGAACTGATATAAAAGTATATGATTGTCCCGTGTATGCGTGTTCTTTTCTTCTGTGCCCTTATTATTTTGTGTGGGTGCAGACTTGAGACGGCAAAGAAAGGTCAAAGGAAAGGAAGGTGCAAGTGAAACATCATATAAATAGAGCTCATTAAGGCAAATGGATATCAAATTGGGCATTACCTACAACACCTAGAAACTGCGACACAATATGAATGAAGCGGATTACGTCTTTGTTCAATTTTGCTTAAAAAATCGACAAAAAT